CTATGTTGGTGGATCCCCAGACTGCAATCACAGCCTCCGCTGTCTTGGAGTTACTCGTCTGTGTGCCGTCGACCAGATGTACACTTGCCACTGGAGGGTGGCCAGCGGGAGTGCGGGTTTCTGAAACAGAATGAACCACAGCCATGACATCGAAGCAACGCTGCGATTTGATGTTCATCATGTCTGCCACTGTAGTCGCTGGAGCCGGCGCCGATGCCAAGGAGGTCTCCTCCGGAGAGCTTTTGAGCACTGGACTGCAGGTTGTGCGCTTGAGGTCGACCACGACACGAACAGACGCATGCACAAAAGCGTCCTGCTGCCGACTGTCCAGGCCGACGCTGGAGAGTTTCCACGCCGTCATCGGAGGGAACTTTTTCAGAGCAGCTTGGACTTCTGCTGGAGTTCCTTTGAGGATGGCCTCACAATAGTGCTCTGAGTCTGTGCCAAGCAGAATGCATGTGAATCGGTTTGCATGGACTAGCTGGCCATTGTTCCTGCTCTTGTACGAGTACTTGATCTCCCTGGGCTTGTATACTCGGACAAGGAAGTCTTGGGTTTTGGCGCTGCTCTTCGTGAGAAAACCCAGTGGAGACGTCGGCTGTTCTGCAGCAGCAGCCATGGTAGCTCACCCGGAGGATCACCGTGGAGCGCACAGTGACACAGGCTGAGAAGCACCGTGCACGGCACGGTGAGACTGGTTGAGCGGATGCGGACAAGGCTCGCTTTTGCCTCGAACTCCTGCAATCAAAGTTCTTTGAACCAGAACGGCAATGATTACAGAATTGCAAAGTTACAAGTGATGCCTCCACGAAGCACCCCCCCTGTGGAGTCGAGAAAGCGTGTTGCTGTATGTGTGCGTGACTCGATGGATGTGATGTGTGTGCTGTGTGGCCCCGCCCCAAAAAATGTTTCGGCCTCTCAAGGCCCCCCCCGCTCCACGAATCCCATTGGGGGTTCGAGATCCCCGCTCTGGTGGGCGGAGACGCCAAAGGCTTCGAAAACCGCGAGGGAGGGAAGGATAAGGGAGAAGAAAAGGACGGAGAGGGAGGGCTCGGAGGCCCTTGGAGGGGGGGATGTGCCCATCCGAGGGAACGGTGCACCCCCCCCTCCCCGTCGTGAAAACGAGGCACCAGCCGTGGCAACGACCCCCCCCCTATCCCCCTCCGCGACCTGAGTAGACCACCCAGGCCAGCGGAGGACGTCATAGGGGGCGGGGGTTCTGACTTCGATGAAAGAAGAGAAGGAAAGAGGGGGGAGGATCAGGCAGACGAAAGCCCTTTTAGGCTTTACCCGGCGTGTGGAAATGCCCTCTTTGGCTTTTGCGGGGACTAACCCGCGCGGTCGCCCGCAGGCGACAGGGCGCCCAGGCCCTCTCCGCGCGCGCAGGCGCGTGGCAAACTACATGCGCACGATCGCCCGTGGAATCGAATGGAACCGTCCGCGGCGAGTCGTCCGCGGCGACTCAGGACCACGTCGCCCTGGAAGAAGAGGCGCTACAAGGATGCATTCTGCGACGCTGGACATCCTGATGCGACGAGGACGCTGCAGAGAAACATTCTGCGCGCGTACGCACGACCTGGAACGACAAGCACAATACGGGAACAAATTCGGTGACGCTGGACTCCCCGATGGGACGAAGAAGCAGCAGAGACACGTCTCAAGGCGCAGCAACACCGAAGTGACGCAAACGCACCCCGCGACACGACAAGGACGCTGCAAGAAGAAACTCGGCGACGCAGGAGTGCGTGGAAGCTACAAAGGCATGGAAAGGAAGCTGCGAGGAAACTACAGAGTATTCAAAGCGTCTCGAGCTTAGGGAGCCTTCCTCAGAGCCCTTGTGCGCACGACTCGGGGCAGCCGGCCGCCCTCCCCTCCTGTTCGTCCTCCTCCTCCTCCTCCTGCTCGTCCTCGTCCCCCTCCTGCTCGTCTTCTTTCTCCTGCTCCTCCTCCTCCTCCTCCTCCTCTTTCTCCTGCTCCTCCTCCTCCTCCTCCTCCTCCTCTTCCTCTTGCTCGTCCTCGTTCTCGTCGTCCTCGTCTTGCTCGTCCTCCTCCTCCTGGTGCTCTCTCCTCCTCCTCCTCCTCCTCCTCCTCCTCCTCCTCCTCCTCCTCCTGGTGGTCCTCGTTCTCCTCCTCCTGGTGCTCTCCCCCCCCTCCTCCTCCTCGTCCTCCTCCTCCTCCTCCTCGTCCTCCTCCTCCTCTTCCTCCTCCTCCTCCTCCTCCTCCTCCTCCTTCCTCCTCCTTCCTCCTCCTTCCTGGTAGTCCTCCCCCTTCCCCTCCTCCTACCCTCCTCCTCTCTTCCTGGGTTTTTCCTGTTCGCCCTCGTTCTCGTCCTCTCGGTCATGCTTCGGCCTCTCTCTCCGTGGTGTTTCTCTCCGCCTCCTCCTCCTCCTCTCCTCCGCTCCTCCGCTACTTTCCTCCTGGTGGTCCTCGTTTTCTCCTCCTCTGGGGTTGCTTCGGGCCCCTCCTCCTCCTCCCTCCTACCTCCTCCTCCTCCTCCCTCCTTCCTCTCCTCGTCCTCATTCACTCTCTCCCTCCTCTTCATCCTCCTTCCCTTCCTCCTACTCCTCCTCCCTCCTCTCCTCTCCTCCTCCTCGTGGTTGTTCTCTCCTCCTCCTCCTCCACTCCTCCTCCTCCTCCTCTCCTCCTCTCCTGGATGGTTCCTTTCGTTCTCCTCCTCATGGTGCTCTCCCCCCCCCCTCCTCTCCCTCCGTCCTCCTCCTACTCCTCCTCGTCCTCCTCCTCCCTCTTCCTCACTCCTCCTTCTCCTCACTCGTCCTCCTCCTTCCTGGTAGTCTCCTCCCTCCCCCTCTCCGAATCCGCCCTTCACTTCCTCCCTCCTCCTCCTCCTCCTCGTCCTCGTCCTCCTCCTCCTCCTCCTCCTCTTCCTCCTCCTCCTCCTCCTCCTCCTCCTCCTCCTCCTCCTCCTCCTGGTACTCCTCCCCCTCCCCTCCTCCTCCTCCTCCTCCTCTTCCTGGTCGTCCTCCTCCTCCTGGTCGTCCTCCTCCTCCTGCTCGTCCTCCTCCTCCTCCTGCTCGTCCTTCTTCTCCTGCTCCTCCTGCTCCTCGTCCTGCTCGTCCTCGTCCTCCTGGTCTTGCTCGTCCTCCTCCTCGTCGTGCTCTTGCCCCTGCTGAAAATGTAGCCCAGGAATGGGAGTTTTGGGAAGTCGAAGAGCACGAAGTTGCCTACAGTTGGCTACGGGCATTCAAAAATGCCTCCTCCTCCTCCTCCTCCTCCTCCTCCTCCTGGTGGTCCTCGTTCTCCTCCTCCTGGTGCTCTCCCCCCCCCCTCCTCCTCCTCGTCCTCCTCCTCCTCCTCCTCCTCGTCCTCCTCCTCCTCTTCCTCCTCCTCCTCCTCCTCCTCGTCCTCCTCCTCCTGGTAGTCCTCCCCCTCCCCTCCTCCTCCTCCTCCTCCTCCTCCTCCTCCTCTCCTCTCTTCCTCCTCCTCCTCCTCCTCCTCCTCTCCTCTCCTCCTCCTCCTCCCTCCTCCCTCCCTCCTCCTCCTCCTCCTCTTCCTGGTCGTCCTCCTCCTCCTGGTCGTCCTCCTCCTCCTGCTCGTCCTCCTCCTCCTCCTGCTCGTCCTTCTTCTCCTGCTCCTCCTGCTCCTCGTCCTGCTCCTGCTCGTCCTCGTCCTCCTGGTCTTGCTCGTCCTCCTCCTCGTCGTGCTCTTGCCCCTGCTGAAAATGTAGCCCAGGAATGGGAGTTTTGGGAAGTCGAAGAGCACGAAGTTGCCTACAGTTGGCTACGGGCATTCAAAATGTGGCCCGGGAATGGAGTTCTGGGAACTCGAAGACCACGAAGTGGCCTACAGTTGGCTCCGGGCATCCAAAATGTGGCCCGGGAATGGAGTTTCGGGAAATGGAAGAGCACGAAGTGGCTTACAGTTGGCTCCGGGCATCCAAAATGTGGCCCGGGAATGGAGTTCTGGGAAATGGAAGAGCACGAAGTGGCCTACAGTTGGCTCCGGGCATCCAGAATGTGGCCCGGGAATGGCGTTCTGGGATGTCGAAGAGCACGAAGTGGCCTACAGTTGCATCCGGCCCCCCAGAATGTGGCCTGGGAATGGAGTTCTGGGAAGGCGAAGAGCACGAAGTGTGTGACTGTTGGTGAAAAACGAGCCCGGCTCACTGCCGCCCGGCAACTCCCAACACCTGCCCGGACCCCCCTGTGGAGTGATCTGCTGCTCTCTTTTGATCCCACTAGAAACCTATCAGTCTTCGCTGTTAGGTAAAAACACACACATGCAATACAATCGAGTTGGTTTACAGTGGACACACGAGAGGACACAAGTCTTCTCCGCGGGCAACCCATGCTCCCGATATGGAGGGGGAATGAAACGCGACAGACAGATTATAAGGGTGCCCTTGAACCCTTGAATGTGCCGTTAAACGCAGAGAACTGCCAGGAAGTCGCGAAGGCTTCTGAGAAGCCCCGCCGCCTTCTGAGAAGGCCTTCTCCTTCTCTAAAAGCCTCCTAGATGGGGTCCGAGTAGATGGGGTCGGAGATTCGCGCCAGATCGCCGATGCATCGGCGATGCATTGGCGATGCATCGGCGACGGCGATGCATCGGCGATGCATCGGCGACGTCGGCGATGCATCGGCGACGTCGGCGTCGGGAAGCATGGGCTCCACATTGAGCCGCAGCGTCGATGCACCGGCGATGCGGCGCGATCCTCCGACCCCAGCAGCTCGGACCCCATCTGGGAGGCCTAGATTATCCCTTCCCTTGGAGGCCTGGAAATTGGCACCAACACCAGAACAGGGGTTGCCTCCACACGGGAAAGATGATCCTAGATTTCGGTGTTGGTGGTAATAGTTCCGTCACCTTGGAAGCCAGAATATTACCACCATCACCGAGATCGGGATCTTCTTCCCTCGGTGGAAGCACACCGCCGATCTTGGTGTTGGTGTTAACCTCTAGGCCTGCGATTCCCCTCCTCGCTCGTGGCCGAATCTTGGCCCACCCCTCGCTCCCAGCCGCCGCCCCGCGCCCCTGGCGGGAGCCTTCGCCTTCGGCCTCGGAGCGCCGCCTCTCGACCGCGCGTCCTGAGGCGGGGCCTCCTCCTCCGCCTCCTCCCCCCTTGCGATTCGGTCGGGCATGCCCCCCTACGGGCGGATTTCGGAGGAAAGCGCAAGAATAATACACAAACAAACACTTCTGCTTTCAATATTAAAACATCGACAAATCGTACCCAGACTTTTGTTTGATTATTGCAATTAGGTCGGGCATGTCCCCCTACAGGCGGATTTCGGAAAACGCAACAATAATTAACAAACAAACGCTTCCCTGTTTCAATATAAAGAAAACATCCCCAAATCGTACCCAGACTATTGTTCAACTATTCTTGAATAATCCTCCTGTAGAAGGGCATGCCGGACGTAACCTTACAAGATAAAGCTTTCCCTACAGTAGGAGCTCGACCACATGAAACCTTCCACCAGAACCCCCACCCTGAGACCGTAGGACGTCCACTGATGCTCGGCGTGGGAGCGCCATGCTTTCCACAGCAGTACCATCGAGAACCGAGGGACTCAGGGGCACCCTAGAGGCCAGCAGGCAAAACCAGCGAAGCACGAGAAGCCCAGGGCACCCTCGAGGCAAGCAGGGTGCCTCTCGGCACGGGCTTCCGCCGCAGGTGAGGCGTGCCGCTCTCTGGTGCTGCAGGTCGAAGATCTTCTGACCCGGGTCAGTCCAGACCCGGGCCAGTCAGGCCTGTCGGAATCCTGCAAGATCCTGCACCCAAGCCCAGGTCAATGCGAAGGATCTCGCAAGATCCTGCACGATCCTGCTCCCAAGCCCGGGTCAATGCGACCCTGGCCCTGCAGGATCCTGCAAGAGCGGGCGCTCTGGCTGGCCCCCGTTTGCATTGGCTCCCGAGCAGGAGGAGCGTGACCGTGCCGCCTTCCGGGAGAGAGCTCTGGACTCCACAGAGGGGGCGGGCGCGCGGCACCTCGGAGAGCGAGGCTCGGGGCAGCGCCGCTGCTCGGGCTCTCGCGCCGCCGCCTCCCGCTCACCTCATGTCGGGCCTGTCCCCCTACAGGGGGATGTTCGACAAAAAAACACCAAAATAACCAAAAAAGGTGTGAAAATACTATAAAAATAGTCCCCAGACTATTTTTTGACATTTTTTTTTTGACGAACATCCCCCTGTATGGGGACAGGCCCGACATAACGCTCACCTCTCGGACGAGGGAGGGCCCAACCCCGGGACGCAGAAGGACACGCTGGTGCAGCAGGAGCTCGACCACCTGCCGCGCGCCAGGTGGCAGCTCCCTGCGCCCATCGACCTGCAGGCATAGCGGCGGCTCTCCTTGCGTAGCGCTAGACCTTGCGCCCCCACGCAGCGCGACAACTATCGATAAATAGCTGTGCCATGTGGTTGTCCGCAATACTTGTTGCTTGATTTATCCAGCCAACCCACTTTTCTACGATATCAGATTGCGCCTACGCGACTGCGTCGTTCCCGACCGCGGGCAACGACGAAGACGCGGTATCGCTGTCTGAATGATCATTATGTTTCGCGCGTTGTCTTCCGATGCCAAGCACCACCTGGAGCATTCAAGGTTACATTGGTTTGGGTTTCTGTTGCGCGGCGACCGGAAGAGCCTAACTGAAAGCACCATACAAAACAAACTGGTCGACTACGCCTCCGACGAGGCACAGCCGGCATTTCACTTCAAATGTCTTGCCCGTTCGCCACGAAAACTCTCCATCCCTGCCGCATTGCGCGCTCGATCTCGGTGTCCAGTGGGTTCAGGAAGTGATGTTACCTTCCAAGCTTCTTCACGTCGACGTCGATAGGAACGATCCCGATCTGCATCTTATCAAGCGTAGTGTGCGTTTTCCTGTCTATTCCTGTATGTTTGCAGACATTGGTAACGATGTTTGTCCTATCCAATGAAGGCTCCACTGAGGCAACTGAGTTCCTTGCGTCTGCCAGCATTCGAACATTATGCTGCCAACTCTGCCCGACGCAAACGACGTCATCCGACGACCTCATCTGTGTCAAACAGCTCAATTCTGCACGTCCGACTTGCAACCGGTACTTCCACTTGTGCCACTTCTCATTTCCCTGTAGACGTCCTCAAGCAGTGCGCTGATAAGTAGCGCGTTCAGCTGCCGAAGCCACGTTTGTCCTGATCGCCCTTCTTGTCCACTGCGTAGTTTGGAAGTCAAGCGTATGTACAGACTCGGTACTCCCTCCTTCGCCATGGCGTTCCATAGTGCCTGGCGTTCTAATGTATCAACTGCGCTTTGACAATCGATAGCAGTACACCAAAAAAATCTGGAACTCTTCGGGTGGCCCCTTGATGTGACGCAATGAAGACGGAACGCTCCGTGTTAAAACCTCTGTCTGCCTGGCCGGCGCACAAAATTAGTGAGAATATGCTGTAGAACAGCCGAAAAAACTGTTTGTAAGGACGGAAACGGTCGTTATAAGTATGCTGTGTTTGATAAGTAGTTCGTCTCCCACTCTACCAAATTAGCTGCAATCACAGATTGTTTCCAGCACTGCGGCGGCTCGGCACCTGGACGAAGAATGTCATTGCACAACTTCTGTAGTGCGTCCACCAACACGTCGCCACCTTCAATAGGAGCAATTCTGTAATGCCTCAAGTAACACGTCGCCACCTTCAATGAGCATTTCTCCAAGAAGCGCCTTGTCGATCTGCGCAACGATGTCCTTGAGTTGCCCGACTCCCTCTCGAACCCCATTGATAGAAAACTCTGGCACGGTTCCCTGCAAAGCACCTTATGCAAGGGCAGGGATACGTAGCACTGGACACTTAATTGCACAGTTCTGCGTAGAAAGAGGCAGACACATTTGCAATACAAAGCCTTGTTGTGACAGTCTTATAACCATCCAACACGCAAAATATAAACTGCCTTTCGTTTCGTCTGTGGATCTGTGGTATGGTGCCACCCCCAAAAGCATACCCAAAATCTCGTTGATCGCATCATCGGCCAAAGTCCTTCGCATTGTTCGCATTGTTTTTGTTTCGTTTTGTTTTGCTGACGTCCGTTCGTCTTGTCCCGGCCGTCCTCGGCAACAAAAAACATTCCCAAATTAGTTCATGCAAAAACGCTCCCTGCGAATTCGCAACGAAGACGGAGCCAGGACGAAAATTGAAACGGGTGAGGATGATTCGAGAATCTCTGAAATCCAGCGGCTCTGGAGGATGTCTCGGGCGCCGCGACTTTCTGAAAGCTTTCCGGAACGCTATGAGAACGTTCCGGCACGCTCGGGAACGGATTCATGCTCGTCCTAGCCCCGTCCGATTTCCTGCGATTTGGCAGCATCGCTCTTGGCATTCTCGCTGCTGGTTGCGTCCAGCGACGCCGACCCCGCCACGGCCGATGCGAGACGTACGGCCCGCTCGCCAACATCGCGGGGCCGCGCTGCAGCAAGAATAACCTCCGACAGTGTGTTCGCATACGGCAGTTTCGTCCCGTGCCGACCCCGGCGCTGGTTTCTGATACCGCGGGGATCGCTCAACCTTGAAGGATCGGCTGGTTCCGGAACGTCAAATGTTTCAATGATGGACCTGTTTCCCGCCACCACCACCATAAGTTGGAGGGGGAGGGGGTCCTCTTCCTCCTCCTCCTCCTCCTCCTCCTCCTCCTCCTCCTCTTCGTCCTCCTCCTCCTCCTCGTCCTCCACCTCCTCCCCCCCATCCAACTTATGGTGGTGGTGGTGGTGGAGAACAGGCCCAACATTCAACATCGACCGACTCTGGGTCGCTGGCGGTGTTCGAAATTGAACTCCAGCGGCGGGGTCGCCGCCGGTCGACACGGCACGAATCCGCCGTACACAGTCGCCGGAACTGCTCTCCATGGGGCCCTGCAGCGTCTGTCGTGTAAGAGTTGTCCTGTGCCTACTTCGCGACGCCGATGGTGAGTGCGAAAGGTCATCTTCACAGAAGTGTGGTCCGAACCGAGGTCTGAGCAGCGTTCCGATCCACAGTCCATTACGTTCTTCCAAATTGTCTGGTCTGCTATGATGTAGTCGATCTGCCAAGCTTTCCCCTTCGTGCTTGTATGGGTTGTTCTTCTTGCTGGCAGTTTCCAGAAGAAGCTGCTGCATAGCACGAGGCCTTCTGCAGATGCCCATTGCTTGAGCCACTGGCCTCTGGAATAGTCTTCGTTCAGCCCGCAAGTGCCGATCACAGCCGAGTCGTCAAACTTCATCCGGCTGCCCACCTGGGCATTGCAATCGGCCCCCAGATGAAAATGAGAATGCTCAGCTTTCGCTTCTGTCCTCAACATAGACAAAATACTGTATCCTTCCTGAACTTGCACACGAAAACCTCGGAGATGCAAATCCTAGAACACAAACCCGTCATTCACAGCTACAGAATTCAATAAGGAATTAGCCCATCGACGGTTCAAAAGGATTGCGACACCCCGCTGGTGCTTCTCGTATACAGCTCTGGCGAAAACGTTCCCCATCAAATATCCTAGCATACTCCCTGCACTCGGTGCGCCAAGCTTCAGTTCATACGTCCAAGTCCAACTGACATGAGCTAACTCACGCATCCACTCCTCAGTCTGGCCATTGCTTGCGAGGCCTCTCTCGGTCAGGAGAGGAGGGGAGGCAGGGGCAAAGGACGAGGGGGAGGGGAGGGACGATGAGGATGCGGATGCAGGGGAGAGGGGTAGGGGAGGGGAGTGGGAGGAAAGAGGGGGAGGGGAGGAGGGGGAGCGGAGGGCAGAGGGGGAGGGGAGGGAAGAGGGGGAGGAAAAAAATGGAACGAGCGAGGGAAGAAGGGGGCGAGGGGTAGGGGACGGGAGGAAGTGAGGGGTGGAGCGACGGACAGGGAGAGGAGAGGTCGGACACGAATGCTGCTTCTTGCCGTGGAATTTGACCTGCTTCCCCAGGGGGGGCCCGGGATGGCCACGAGGCGGTCCCTGGAGGCCCCTCAGAGCCCCAAATGCGCCCTTGGACAAACAAAAACCCAACCTGGCCCCAACTTGTCCCCTTCCCGAGGCCCCCAGGATCGATCAAAATTTGCCCCCGCGATGAACTGCAGCGGACTCACAGGTTGACAAGAGGCCGAAACGGTTTCGGGAGACGCTGAGGACAATGGTGGGAGAACAAAAAGCCGACACCAGCACCAAGAAAGTATTTGTTTCACGAAATGTCGAATTGCGTTTTGGGCCAGCGCGAGCCCGCCCTGGCCTGAGGAATCGCAGAGTGGGCGAGGAGGACGGGGGAAGGGAGACGTCGCGCAGCACGCAGGAGGGAAAGCAGGAAATAACAAGTGCAAGCGAGAAGCGAAACTAGCGGGCGCTCTCGGGAGAAGAGGGAGAGAAGAGGGAAGGCTGCGGCATCCCCCATGGCTGAAGCTTCACTCCCCCCACCGCCGCCCTCCACCACGCCTACCCCCGCCCGCCCGCCCCCCTCTCATTCCCCCCACCCCTCACCCACCCTATGTCCGCCCGCGTCGCATCCCGGACCCTCGTCTGGCAAGACACCAAGGCCCGACGAGTTCGAATCCGCCGCTCTCTGCGAAAGGGGGCGGTGGCCGCCCGTCGCGGCCTGGGCATAAGACCGTGGCCCCCTCTTGACCCAAGCCCGCAGCCCGTGGCAACCTTCCGGATTCGTCGAGGGGTTCAGCTCGCACATGGGGCCGCCGTTCCAGTGGGGGTCTTGGTGCTGGTGTCGGTTTTTTGATGTTGCAGGGAACAAAAAGCCGGCACCAACACCAAGACGCCACTGGAAAAGTTCGGAGCGCTTTCCCTGTGGGGGCTGAGCGACCCAACGAAGCCAAGAAAGCTTGAGATGGCTCGCGTTGCTCTCCGACTTTGCAAGCCACGGTGCTTCCATGATAGGGAAACGTCCCATGCAGCTCATGGCGCCCCTGAGGCCCACGGGGCTCCCATGGCCCGCGGGGTTTCCAAGGCTCAGAAACCAGATGTGGCCCTGACGAGTCAGGGAGCCAATGGTGCCCGCGCGGCATGCTGGGCCAGCGCGGCGCGTTGGGCTTATGCGCGCTGCGGCGCACGTTCGGCCCATGAAGCCCTTTGTGGAACTTGTGGGGTTCATGGGGCTGGCTGGGTTCGCACGGCCCGCGGGACTCGCGCGGCCCATGGAAATCCTAACGCTCACTTGGGGAACTGGAGACGGCCCGTTATGTTCCCACGCGCTCAGAGCTGGCATTCATCAACTCTGGACACGCGAACCCGAAAACACGGGCGACGGCATTCAACAGAGGCTGCAATGTTGTCTTTTCTAGTGGCTTCTTGGTGTTGGTGTCGGGTTCCTGTGCGCCGAAATGGTGCGGCTGAGAAGCAGCAGCAGCCGCGGGGTCCTCCTCGTCCTTGAAGCGCCCCAGCGTCTTGAGCAAGCTTTGAATGGGCCCTGCCGCTGACACCGGCGGTCCTGGTGCCCCCAACCCGGAGCAACCCTCCACCACCAGGCGGAGGTGAGGAGGGCGAGGAAGGAGGACGAAAGAGGGCGAAGGAAGACGAAAGAGAAGTGGGAGAGTGATCGGAAAGGGGAGGGAGCAGGACGGGGAGGGAGCAGGCAGAATGAGGGTGAAGGACCACGGGCTACGGAGTGCAGAGCCTGGAAGGGCCGCCAGTTCTCAAGCGTCACCCGGCGGCCGCGGCAACAGCTGCGGCATCCGACAGAAAGGTGACGGCAAGGTCGAGGCAGTCGAGGAGTCAATACTCGACGGTGGGTGGCGCAGCAGCACCAACACGAGGGTGGGCGGCACCGCCAGCAGAAGAAGCCGAAACCGCAACCATCGTGCCCATCAAGGAGCACGGAAACGAGCTCAGTCGAGCCACCGAGATAGACCAGAAAGCGGCAGCCATACCCCCCAGTCGGGGGAGAAGAGGGCAAAACCCGCATGGGCCTGAGTGGTCGCCTGCACCACCGCAAGGTGACACGATGGCACATCCATACAACGCAACCCTTCGTTCTTTCCTTCACGGAGCCTACGTCAAGTTATCGACTCCCTCCCCTCCTGCAAATCGCCGAGCCTTGCAGAGCTCTGAGCACGAAGCCACGACAAGACGGGACGAAAAGGAAGAGGAGGGCGGGGCAGGGGGAGAGAGAGGAAGGTTAAGGGAGGGAAGGGAGGCGACGGGGGGAAAGGGAATTCGCCGGCCCAACGGGCCGGAGGCGTGCTAAGATCTCCGGTAACTGGTTAACAATATTTCTAGTTCGCGCGCGCGGGGCGGCCCCTGGGGGTCCCCAGGCGAAAAGTATCCCGACCGCAGCCCGACCAAGTCTACCCAGAGATGGTTTTGAGGGCCTTTTTCGACACCCCTCACGAGGATCGTGGCCTCCGAGGGGGGTGCACTCGACTACCCCGCCCCAAGAGGCCCCCAAGTGACCCCCAAGAGGCCCAAGGGGGCCCCAAGACGCCGCCAAGGAGCCCCAAGAGACCCCCAAGAGGCCCCCAAGAGGCCCCCAAGAGGCCCAAAAGAGGCCCCCAGAGGCTTCAAAGAGGCCCCATAGAGCGCTCGAGGGCCGGCGGAATGAGCGAAGCGATTAAATCACTCAAGGGAAAGTGCCAGTCGTGTCTCCGATGTTCCCCAGCAGCAGCAGCAGCAGCAGCCGCTGCGGCGGCAGAAGCGGAAACGGTGGCAAACGGCGCAGGCAGCAGCAGCATCACAGCGGTGGCATCTGTCGCGGCCAGGACCCCACCCACCCAGCCCCGCCCTTTCTTTTGGCCCTCTGCGGCCTCTGCTGCAGCCCTTTCTCCTGCGGGCTGGCGGAACCGCCTCCAGGGGGGCCCCACAGCGGGGCGGCCCACTCGCCGGGAAGAGGGGAGGGGAGATGGGGCAAGGACGGGAGGGAAGGGGCGACGGCGCACTGGCGCGAGAGCCCAGCACATTTGTCTGAACGGCCCCTGGCGCAGCACGTCCCAAGCACTCTCCAAGAACATCTCTTGGCGTGTCTCTCTCTCTCTCTTTCTCTCTCTCTCTCTGGTATATGGTGTGTGTGTGTGGTGTGGTGTGTGTGATGTGTGTGTGTGTGTGTGGCGTGTGTGGTGTGCGTGGTGTGTATGGTGTGTGTATGGTGTGTGTGGTGTGTGTGGTGCGTGTGGTGTGTGTGTGTGGTGTGTGTGGTGTGTTGTGTGTGTGGTGTGTGTGGTGTGTGTGGTGTGTGATGTGTGTGGTGTATGTGTGTGTGGTGTGCGTGGCGTGTGTCGCGTGTGGTGTGTGTGTGGTGTGTGGTGTGTGTGATGTGTGTGTGTGGTGTGTGTGTCGTGTGTGGTGTGTGGTGCGTGGTGTGCGAATGATGTGTGTGGTGTGTATGTGGTGTGTGTGGTGTGCGTGTGTGTGGTGCGTGTGGTGTGTGTGTGGTGTGGGTGGTGTGCGTGGTGTGTGTGTGTGTGGTGTGTGGTGTGTGTGGTGTGTGGTGGGTTTGCGTGTGGTGTGTGTGTGGTGTGAATGGTGTGTTTGGTGTGTATGTGGTTGTATGTGTGTGGTGTGTGTGGTATGTGTGCGTGTGTGCGTGTGTGTGGTGTGTGGTGTGTGGTGTGTGTGTGGTGTGTGTGTGGTGTGTGTGTGTGTGGTGTGTGCGTGGTGTGTGCGTGTGTGTGGTGTGCGTGGTGTGTGTGGTGTGTGTGGTGTGTTTGGTTTGTGTTGCGCGTGGTGTGTGTGGTGTGCGTGGTGTGTGTGTGTGGTGTGTGGTGTGCGTGGTGTGTGTGGTGTGGTTGGTGTGTGTGTGTGGTGTGTGTGTGGTGTGTGTGTGGTGCGTGTGGTCTGTGCGAGTGTGGTGTGTGTGCGCGTGTGCGTGTGTGTGTGTGTGCGTGTGTGTGTGCGTGCGTGGTGCGTGTGCTGTGTGGTGTGCGTGTGTGCGTGTGTGTGCGCGTGTGTGTGTGCGCGCGTGTGTGTGTGTGTGCGTGTGTGTGTGCGCGTGTGTGTGTGCGTGTGTGTGTGAATGTGTGCGTGGGTGTGGTGTGTGTGCGTGTGTGTGTGCGTGTGTGTGTGTACGCGTATGCGTGCCTGTACGTGTACGTGCACGCGCACGTGTACGTGTACGTGTACGTCTCCGTGTATGTGTACGTGCACGTTCACGCGTACGTGTACGTGTGTGTGTGTGTGTGCGTGTGCGTGTGTGTGTGCGTGTGTGTGCGTGTGTGTAGTGTGTGGTGCATGTGATGTGTAGTGCGTGTGATGTGTGCGCGGTGCGTGTGTGGTGTGCGTGGTTTGTGTGGCGTGTGGTGTGTGTGTGGTGTGTGTGTGGTGTGTGGTGTGTGTGGTGTCTGTGTGTGGCGTGTGTGGTGTGTGTGGTGTGTTTGGTGTGTGGTGTATGGCGCGTGTGGTGTGTGGTGTGTGGTGTAAGTGGAATGTGTGGTGTGTGGTGTGTGCGTAATGTGTCTGGTGTATGTGGTGTGTGGCGTGTGTGGCGTGCGTACGTGGTGTATGTGGTGTGTGGTGTGTGCGAGGTGTGTGCGTGTGGTGTGTGTCGCGTGCGTGGTGTGTGTGTGTGCTGTGTGTGTGCTGTGTGTGCTGTGTGTGGTGTGTGTGGTGCGTGTGTGTGGTGTGTGTGGTGTGGGTGGTGAGTGTGGTGTGTATGTGTGCATGCGCGTGTGGTGTGCGTGGTGCGTGTAGTGCGTGCGGAGTGTGGTGTGTGTGGTGCGTGTGATGTGTAGAGCGTGTGGTGTGTGTGTGTGTGGTGTGTGTGTGTGCGGTGCGTGTGTGTGGTGTGCACGTTGTGTGTGGTGTGTGTGGTGTGTGGTGTGTCGTTTGTGTGGTGTGTGTGGTGTGCGGTGTCTGTGTGGCGTGTGTGGTGTGCGGTGTGTGTGGCGTGTGTGTGATGTGTGCGTGGCGTGTGGTGTGTGGTTCGTGGAATATGTGGTGTGCGGTGTGTGTGGTGTGTGTGGTGTGTGTGGCGTGTGTGCGGAGTGTGTGGTACGTGGTGGGAGTGGTGTATGTGGTGTGTGGTGTGTGCGAGGTGGTGTGTGGTGTGTGTGGTGCGCGTGGTGTGTGTGTGCGGTGTGCGTGGTGTGTGTGTGTGTGATGTGTGTGGTGTCTGTGTGTGGTGTGCGCGGTGTGCGTGGTGTGCGTGGTGTGTGTGTGTGTGGTGTGGGTGGTGTGTGTGTGCGCGTGTGTGTTGTGGGTGGTGAGTGTGGCGCGTATGTGCGTGTGCGCGTGTGTGCGTGGTGTGCACGGTGTGTGTAGTGCGTGCGATGTGAGTAATGTGTACGAAAGTGTTTGTACGCGCGCTTGCGCGTGCGTGCGTGTGCGCGCGCGTGCGTGTGTTCGTGTGCGCGTGCGCGCGTGTGTGTGTGTGTGTGTGTGCGCGTGCGTAAATGCGTGTGTGCGTGTGTGTGAGCGCGTGCGCGCGCGTGCGCGTGCGTGTGCGTGGTGTGTGCGAGCGCGTGCGTGTGCGTGCGTGTCTACACGTGCGTGCTCGCGGCCGTGCGTGGTGTTCGCGGGGTGCGTGGTGCGTGTGGTGCGTGTGGTGTGTGTGTGCGCGCGTCTGTGCGGCGTGTGTGGTGTGTGCGGTGCGTGTTATGTGTGGCGCGTGTGTTGTGTGCGAGCGTGGTGTGTGTGTGTGCGTGTGTGCGTGAGCGTGAATGCGTGCGCGCGTGTGTGCGCGCGTTCGCGCGCGCGTGCAAGCGCGCGCGCGTGCGCGTGCACGTGTACGCGTGCGTGCGCGTGCGTGCGTGCATGTGCGTGCGTGCGTGCGTCTGTTTGGTGTGTGTGTGTGTGTTTGCGTGGATGCGCGTGTGCGTGTGCGTGCACGCGTGCCCGCGCGCGTGTGTGTGCGCGCGTGTGTGCGTGTGTGCGTGTTTGTGCGCGTGCGTGTGCGTGCGTGTGCGTGGTGTGCGTGGTGTATGTGGTGTGTGTGGTGTGAGTGGTGTATGTGGTGTGTGTGGTGTGAGTGCGGTGTGCGTGTAGTGCGTGCGGCGTGCGTGGCGTGTGTGGTGTGTGTGTGGTGTGTGTGTGGCGTGTGTGGTGTGTGGTGTGTGCGTAGTGTGCGTGGTGTGCGTGGGGCGTGTGACATGTGCGTTGTGTGTGGTGTGCGTGTGGTGCGTGGCGTACGTGGTGCGTGGTATACGTGGTGCGTGTGTGGTGCGTGCGTGGTGCACGTGGTGCGCGCGTGTGGTGCGTGGCGCGCGCGGTGCGCTCGGCGTGAGTGGTGTGCGTGGTGTGTGGAGCGTGTGTGGTGTGAGTGGTGTGTGTGTGGTGTGTGCGGTGTGTGTGTGTGTGGTGTGTCTGGTGTGTGCGCGGGCGCGGCCCCCGACCTCACATTTGTGGTCGGAGTCGCGGCCCCAGGCCTCTGGGACCCAGTCCCCTGATCTATGCGTGAATATACAAATATACATACATGCATGCACGCATGCATGCATCCAGGCATGCATGCATACAAACATGCATGCATACATACATGCGTACATGCATGCATAAATACGCGCATGCATACACACACATACATATATATAGATACATGGCTACCTACCTACCTACCTACCTGCATGCCTACATATATGCATACATGCATACATACACACATACATGCATACACACGCAAGCATATGCACATACATACATACATGCATGCATGCATACACACAGACATACCTACCTACATGTGTACATACATGCATGCATACATACATGCATGAAGACATACGTACATACGTACATGTATGCAGTCCTACATGCATGCGTGCATGCATACATACATGCACACGTACATACCCACACACATACAGACACACAGACATACAGACATACAGACATACAGACATACAGACATACAGACATACAGACATACATACATACATACATACAGACATACATGCATGCACACACGCATATATGCATACATGCATACATACATACATACATTACACACTCCCACACGTACATAAATACATGCATACATACATGCATGGAGATATACATACATACATGCCTGCATGCATGCATACATACATACATACCTATATACACAGAATAGCTCGCTCTCTCTCTCTCTCTCTCCCTCCACACCCCCCCTGCCTCTCCCCCAGCCCTGCTCGGCAATTGCCCAATGGCACACTGTTCATTCTGCTCCGCGGTAGGTGCCTCATTCGGTCCCCCGTGTAAGGCAGAGTCCATCGCTGCAGGGGAACGGGGTCCAATACGCGTGCAAGACTCAGTCGACCAGAAGCCTGGCTGCACAGAAAGCGAACACTATGTTCGAAACAGGGACGTCTCAACGCAAGAGCAACGCGCCCTTGCATGAGCTGAAAACTGAAGCTGCTAGTACGACTCGTCGTACGACGCGCAAGAAGGCAGGAACCTACATCCGCCACCGTGCCTCCCTGGCACGCTGGGGCGTGCTAGAATGCCAAGTGCTGCCTGGCAGGGTGACTGTCATCGTCTCGCCCCCCCTCTCCACCAGCGCCGGCCTGCATGCATCGCCCCCCTCTCCCGAGGCCACAACCCTTTAAGCATACTGCGCGTTCGCACTCCCGAGGCCATAACCCTTCGTGAAATACGACAGGGTCGCGCCCCCGAGGCCAGAATCCCTTGTGAAATACTGGGTGCGCGCTCGCGATGCCAGGATGTCTCCAAGACGGCCCAAGGTGGCTCCAAGACGGCCCACTTTGGCCTCAAGACTGCCAAACAGAACCCCAAGACGGCCTGAGAGGCTCCAAAACGGCCTAAGAGGACCCCCAGGGGCCCTCAAGACTGCCTCTCAGGAGACCAAGACAGCCACAAGACAGCCTGAATGAATTCCACGAGGCCTCAGCTAGTGAAGACAGAAGGTGTCACATGGGACGGCGTTCCTCTTCCTCCTCTTCCTCCTGCCCCTCCTCCCTCTCATGCACATCATCCTCATCATCCCCATCTTCATCCTCCTCCTCCTCCTCCCTCTCCTCCTCCTTCTCCTCCTCCTCATCCTCCTCTTCCTCCTCCTCCTATTCCTCCTCCTCGCCCTCATCCTACTCCTCCTCGTCCTCCTCCTCCGCCTCCTCATCATCGTCATCTGCATCAGCATCAGCATCATCATAATCGTTGTCGTGGTCGTCGTCATCATCAGCAGCCGCATCATCATCATCACCACCATCATCACCGTCAGCATCATCAGCATCATCATCATCAGCAGCATCAGCATCAGCATCATCATCATCACCATCGTCGTCGTCATCGTCGTCATCACAATAATCATCATCATCATCATCATCATCATCATCATCATCATCAACATCAGCATCATCATCAGCATCATCATCATCCTCATCATCCTCACCATCACCATCACCATCACCATCATCATCAGCTTCAGCATCAGCAGCATCAGCATCAACATCATCATGATCACCGTCACCATTACCATAATCATCACCATCACCATCACCATCACCAGTATCAGCATCCTCATCATCAGCAGCACCACCACCATCATCAGCACCACCACCAGCACCACCACCATCATCACCACCACCACCATCATCATCATCATCACGACCACCACGACCATCATCATCATCATCACCATCACCATCTGACTACCTACCAGACCACCCCAACCCAACCCGAATATCCGAATTTCGGGTTCAGGGGTCGGTACAGGCTTCATATACGTTATTTCAATTTTCCCCGACACCCCACAAACGGAGATGGAGGGCAAATCGGGACGTCGGGCTGGGTTGAGGTGGTTTGGTGGGCGGTAATGAACAGCATCATCATCATTACCATCAGCATCATCATCACAATCATCATCATCACCACCATCATCATCATCATCATCATCATCATCATCATCATCGTCCATCGTCATGGCCATCGTCATCGCCATGATCACCATCATTATCATCACCACCACTATCCGTATCAGCAGCATCATCATAATCATTATCGTCGCCGTCATCACCCATCATCATCATCAGCATCGCCATCAACTGCAACCTCAACATCAGTATTAACATCAGTATTAACATCAGCATCAACATCGTCATCATCACCATCATCACCACCATCATCATCACCATCACCATCACCATCACCATCACCATCATCATCATCATCATCATCATCATCATCATCATCATCATCATCATCATCTTCATCATCACCACCACGGCACCCCCAAGCTTAGGGACACGAGGTGCCACACTTGACGGACTCCCGTGACCCCTCGAACAGTCACCACCGAGAATGCTGGGCTGGCACGGTGGCGGGACTTGCCGCGAGCAGCTGGATAACAAAAAGGCCGGAATGAGCATGCATGTCGAATGGCGCCGGGCGCTCCGACTGTGCCGGGGCCCTCGGCCTCAGCATCAGCCCTGCTGCTGCGGCTGTGCTACAAAGGAGACCCGTCTGGGCTCAGCCCGCGCTTGGCCAGCGCGGCGTCAAGCTGGGCCTCGGTGGCCTGCCACAGCTTCTCGGCCAGGACCTCGTCGCTCCCCAGGGAGGAGACGCTGCCCCGCGCACAGTCGGACAGGTACGCGCCGGAGAAGGTGGTCCTGCGCACCTCGTCGGACAGGCAGCCCCACAGCGTTGTGGCAGCGCCCTGAGGGACATTCTTGTCGGCGAGGAGCACCCCAAGAAGCCATCCTCCGAGGCCACCGCTGGCAGGCGTGGAGCGCCACAGCGGTGTGCGTATGACGCCGGGGTGCACGGACACGCACGCGACCTTCTCCGGCAGGCGCTGCGCGAGGCTCTTGCTGAACAGGACGTTTGCGAGCTTCGATCTCCCGTACGCGCCCCAGGCCGAGTACTGGTCGCCATCGCTGCGGGTGTAGTGCAGGTTGCTCACGTCGAGGGAGCTGGCCATCTTGTGCGCGGTGGAGGCCAGTGACACGATGCGGGACGGGAACTCCTGCACCTCCAGCTTCGGGCGGAGCAGCCGCGCGAGCAGCGCATGACCGAAGTGGTTCACGCCCATCTGCATCTCGAAGCCGTCGGCAGTGCGCTGCAACTCGGGAAGAGCCATGACGCCGGCGTTGAGCACCAGATAGTCCACACGCTCCTCAGTGGCGAGGACCTCACTCGCGAAGGACGCGACCGAACCTAAGTCCGCCAGGTCCAGCCGCTTCACCGTGACGTCGGCGTCGGGGACACTGTAAGCGCCAAGCCCCTCCCTTTTGACCTCCTCTTCGACGGCGTTCTCGCCTGCCTCCACGGAGCGGCTGGCCAGCACTACACGGCAGCCCGCATATGCCAGGGCCTTCACGGTCTCGACGCCGATGCTAGAGGAGGCAAATACGGCATGAACCCAAACTTTTGGAGGTCCACGCGGATTTCTTGGATCTGACCTGGGCCCCCTCCCTGGCGCGCGGAGCGCGCCAGGGGGCGCGCCAGGGGCGGCGCAGGAAGCGCCGCCAGGGGCTTCCAGCGCAGATCCACGAACTCCGCGCAGAGCTCCAAGAATTGATGTTCATGCCGCGTTTTGTCCTTCGAGATGCCGCTGTTGCCACCGGTGACCACCGCGACGCGTCCCGCCAACGGCCTGCCGGGAGCGAGAGCGTCCACGACGTCCTTCGCGGTGGACCGCTTCCCGAGGGCCGCCGGGAGCACTGCGCAGGGGGCGGCGTAGGGCGGCCCCGCGCGCCCCGGGGCGGAGGAGAAGAGGAGCTGCGTGCCAGCCGCCAGGCCCAGGCAGCTCGCCAGGCGCTGCAGCTTCTTGGTGGTCCCCAAACGTGGTGGTGAGAACACCCGGTGGTGAGTTTTGGGCGATTTGGGTAATGGTTTTCGAGCGCTGGCTGGCCCAGGAAACGCAAAACCTCGTGGCGACCGCGTGTCCCCAAACCCGGTGGTGACCCAGAATTATTTCTTTGGGGAATCGGGGTCACCACCGGGTGTCTCACCACCTGGTTTGGAGACCACCAAGCTTCGTCGCGGCTCGATCGGTGCCCCTGCGAAGGAACGGTACCCATCGGTCGGAAGAAATAGGTAGGGCACGAAGTAGGAAGGCGTTGAAGATAGATTGAGTCCCGTCCGCCCCCTGAGAAGGGCGGAGAAGGTGAAGCCGCTCGATCATTGAAGTAGGAAGACGTTTAAAGTAGAATGGAATCTGGGAATCCCAAAATACCTACTTTCAACGACCGACCTGTATGCGCATGGGTCCCCTTCCTCGGGATCGGCACCGAGCCTTCCTGAACAATAGTGGCTTAAGGGAGGCGGGGGGAGATCGAGCAAGGAAGAGGCAGAGGAGCAGCCAAGCAGCTGCACGAACGCTCCAAAGCCGCTGGCTCACGCCACGCTGTGCACTACAGACTTGAACCGCGGCCCACTGGGTGTTAATCCTCCTCCACTCTGCAGTCGAGCTTGAGCATCGGGTCGGCCCTGCTAAACCAAGGATGCGCACTCTGCCCTCTGCCCTGCGACCCACGCCTTCTGCATTCCTATGGCAGTGTGGCCCTCAGAAAGGTCTTGTGCCCCCTCGCGCATCCACTCCCTTGAGGAACCCAAAACACGGCGCAAACATGGACTTTCGGAGCTCCGCGCGCAGCTCTTGGATCGGTGCGGGATGAGCGCGCCAGGGACGGCGCCGGAGGCGCCGCTAGGGGTCCCAAGCTCCGAGAAATCCGCGCGGAACGCAGCACATGTATGTATATGACATGTTTCCCTCGCCGACACCCATCATTCTCCACTGTCTCCCGCTACACCCACCACTGCAGTCGGACCCAAGCCAGCAGAGCATCCTTCAAAACACGGAACCCTCCGTCGGCCAAGACAAGCGCCAAGGTGCGCAAAAACATCCAACAAACACGAAGAACACTAGGCAAGGGCTCCCAACTTCGCGCTTCGCGCTGCGCGAAGCGCGAAGTGCGAATAACTTCGCGCTCTCGCGCCGCCTCCCAGGGGAGAAGAAGGAGGACGAGGAGGAATCCGAGCCGAACCGCGAAGCGCGAATAACTTCGCGCCCTCGAGGGCGCCCTTGACTAGGGCACCCTCCCAAACCGGCCTCGGTCCTATTCATCGGTCCGACTGCATCGTCCCAGGACACGGCGTCTTCGCGCAGCGCAAGCTCGGACTGCAGGGCGCAGGGGTCCAGCACGGCGGCACGCCACGCGTGACGCCCGCCCCTCCCTCCCGTCGACAGAGGACACGCTTGACGGCTGGCAGGGCAACGACGGGGACAGCAGGGGAGTCCAGAATCGAATCGATGAGTCGGATCGGCGATCGACACGAACCGGATAGGCGGAAATCAGCAGCCAAGTTGGACCTCCTCCTCCTCCTCCTCGTCCTCCTCCTCCTCCTCATCCTCCTCCTCCTCCTGGCTCCTCCTCCTTTCCTCCCCCCCTCCTCCTCATCCCCCTCCTTCTCCTCCTCCTCCTCCTTCTTCCTCCTCCTTCTTCTTGGTATCATTCTTAATAGTGCAATTCTTATTATTAGTATGATTATTTGCTTATTACGATGGTTCGCCTTATCATCGTTACTTGTTCTCATTGTTGATTGTCCGCCGTATGATTAGTATTCGGATTATTCAGATTAATTTCTCGTATCCTTATTCCTCATTAGTACAGTCCTTCGTTTTCTGATTACTGGTATTAGTATTGTGATTACTACTCTTCGCATTATTATTAGTAGTAATGATAATCTTATGTGCTCTTATTTGTCCTCCTCCTCCTCCTCCTCCTCCTCCTCCTCCTCCAAGCCGGCCCCCACGGCGCTGCCACTGGCAGGCTGGGCGCCGCGGTGGCGCGCGGCTCCTCCGCGGGCGCGGGGCGCTTGCCCCAGATCTTCGGCTGCGGCTTCGCCTGGGCCTCGGAGGGGAGAGAAGGGGAGGGGAGGGAAGGGGAGAGGAGGGGAGGGGAGGGAAGGGGAGAGGAGGGGAGGAGGGAAGGGGAGAGGAGGGGAGGGGAGGGGAGGGGAGGAGAGAGGAGGAGAGGGGATGAGGAGAGGAGAGGAGGGAGAGAGGAGGTGGGAAGGGGAAGAGGGGAGATGAGAGGAGGGGAGGGTGAATCTGAAAGGGTCGAGGGGGCGAGGCGGGAGTCGGAGGGGAGTGCGACGGTGAGCGAAAGGAGAGGGAGGGGGAGAGAGAAGGGGAGAGGAGAGGACTAAAACGCGTATCACACGGGCACGCAGGCCGGCCAACCTGCGCACCCAGGCCGAACCGGCAGCGGAAGACGGAGAACAATTAAGAGAGGCAAGGTGGCGGTAACAGGACAATAGGCTGCCACTCGAGTCCAGTGCTCAAACGAGCCAGCCTGTGGCCCGTCGGCCACGGCACTCGAACCGCGCTGCAACCAACGAGGCCTCAGAAAGAGTTGCAGTGGAGGAGGGAAGAAGAGGGGAGGGGAGGGGAGGGGAGGGGAGGGGAGTGAGAAGGGGAGAGAGGAGGGGGGAGGGGAGGGGAGGGCAAGTCGGAACGGATCGAGGTGGGGGGGGTCGAGGCGGGCAGAAGGGGAGGGGGGCGCGACGGCGAGCGGGGGGGCGAGGAAGGGATGCCGGGGCGGGACGTGGGGAGGGAAGCACCGGAGAGCGGGGGGGGCACACGGGAGGGGCCGGGGCGCCCAGGGGGGGCGGAGAGGGGCACGATGACAGGGGAGGATCTGCAGCAGGAGCGGAGGGCAGAGGGGAGGAAGAAGGGAGTGGCCAGGGCGGGGAGGGAGGAAGGGGGGAAGGGGAGGAGGAAGGGGAAGGAGGAAGGGAGGGAGGGAAGAGGGAAGGAGGGGGGGGGAAGGGGGAAGGAGGGATGGGGGAAGGAGGGAGGGGGAAGGAGGAAGGGGGAAGGAGGGAGCGACGAGGAGGGGAAGGAAGAGGGGGGAAGGGGAAGGGGGAAGGGAGGGAGGGCAGGAATGGTGAGGACGGGGAAGGAGAAGGGGAAGGGGAAGGAGGACCTGCCTGGGCGAACCTGGGGACAGGCAAGAGCGACTCGTCATGGCTGCTCCAGGAAGCCGTGCTGGAAAGAGGGCCGCCGGAAGCGCTCACTGGCCTCGCAGAGGAGCCGCGGGCCGCTGCCACGGGGCCCCAGCGGGCGAGCCGAGCCAGGGGCATGACCACGCGTTGCGAGCACACGCTGCCAGACGTAAGTGAGATAGTGAACGAGAAGGCGAAAAAAAAAGAATAGGATAGTGAGATAGTGAACGAGATAGGATAGTGAGCGGCGGCAGGGTGTGAGCCTCGGGGGAAAAAAAGCAGCGGTCACGAGAAGGCGGGGAACAAAGGGCCACGATGAAGCAAATGGGAAGGCCTTGGGGAGGAGAGACAGGAGGCGAACGGAGAGGAGAAGGAGGATGAGGAGGAGGAGGAGGAGGAGGAGGAGGAGGGAAGGGAGGAGCAGGAGGAGGAGGAGGAGGAGAAGTCGCTGCTGAAGAGGATGAGGATGAGTCGGCGGCGAGCCCAGAGGGGAAGTGGGAAGGGGCGGGCCTTCTCAAAAGGTTCGAAGTCCCCCAGCCTTCTGAGACGCCTTCTGCGCCTTCCTCGATGACGCAGAAAACATATCAGAATGCCGGAGGCCTTCTGAGAAGACCCGCTGCCTTCTGAGAAGGCCTTCTCCTTCTCACTGCCCCCCCCCACTCGCCGCCGAATGAGGAGGGGGAGAAGTCGCTGTGGAGGAGGATGAGGACGAGGACGGGGGTGAGCATCCAACAGCCCTCCGTCGCGTCTCTTGTTGCCGCGACGAGAAGGAGGAGGAGGAGGAGGTTCGAGAAGGAGGAGGAGGAGGAGAAGGAGGATCGAGGAGGAGGAGGAGGAGGAGGATCGAGGAGGAGGAGGTTCGAGAAGGAGGAGGAGGAGGAGGATCGAGGAGGAGACGGACGATCCAGTAGGAGGAGGAGGAGGAGGATCGAGGAGGATCGAGGAGGAAGAGGAGGAGGAGGAGGACGATCGAGTAGGAGGAGGAGGATCGAGGAGGAGGATCGAGGAGGAGGAGGAGGAGGAGAACGCCGACGAAGACGAGCACGAGGAGGGGGCGCGCCTTCGCCTTCCCCTTCGCAGCGCTCCTCCTGGGCGGGCCGCTGGCCGCCGCGCCTCCCGCGTCGTCGGCATCGTCGCCCGGCTCCACGCACACGGCAGGGGCCTGCCCTCTCCGTGCCAGCGCCGCATGGGCAGATGTTCCACCACCACTACCACATGGAAGGGGGTCCTCCTCCTCCTCCTCCTCCTCCTCCCTCCTCTCCTCCTCCTCCACCTCCTCTCCTCCTCACCTCCCTCCTCCCCCCCCCTCCTCCCCCCCCCTCCTCCCTCCTCCTCCTCCTCCTCCTCCTCTTCCTCCTCCTCCCTCCTCCTCCTCTCTCCTCCTCCTCCCCCTCCTCCTCCTCCTCCTCCACTACCACATGCAGGACGGGGGAGAAGGGAGGATGAGGAGGTCCTCCTCCTCCTCCTCCTTCTCCTCCTGCCTATGGTGCTGGTGGTGGAACATGGGCCCATCAACAGGTGGGCAGCTACGCCAGAGGCACTGCTCGAGGGGCGTCGCAAGCTGATAGACAGGCGCGTTCCACTGCTCGCGAAGCAACCGCGATCCGCCGCGGTGATCTTACGATCCGTGACATCGAGGCACAGATGTGTTCTTGTCTGATGTTTGCGAGTCGTGGAACGCGCTCGGTGAGCGGAGATGAAGAGGCGGATGCGAGCCGGAGAAGACTGAAGCGGACAGAGGGGGGATTCTAAGGGATCGGGTGCGATCTGGGGCCCGCAAGCGAGAGCCGGAACGGGAACAGGAAGAGTGCACGAAGGTGAGCAATGTTGCACCTTGGTGGTTCATTCGCACGCCCCTTCAGAAGAAAAACGCACCCGTTGCAGGGCAGGTATTGGACAGCGGCAGGTATCAAGCAGCGAAACCAGTTCAAGGTGATAGCGGCGAGGAGGACGAGGGCGAGAACAAAACTGATGACGGCGAGCACGAGGACGACGAGGAGGCCAAGAAACTACGGCGAAAAAGGGCGGTCGAGGAGAGGGAAAATGACGAGAAGATACACAATAAGGACGAGGGCAAGCACGAGCGAGGATGAAAACGAGAACAATCCTCCTTCTCATCAGCATGCTCAGCCTTCGCCTCATCGCCCTCGAGGAGAAGGCCGCAGCACGACGCCGACAAAGAGGAAATGATCGATCTTTGCCAGGGCCGAAAGGACCCTCTGCGTCTCAGGGGGAGACTCAGATCAATCGCATTCTGAACCTCCCCCCTCTCGACTCCCCTGTCCCTGTCAATGTCCCTCTCCTTTCTGTGCCAAAATGAACCATATGAATACGAATCTCCTCACTCGCCAATCTGCGCTACCAACAAGATTGTCCCGAGTTGGATTCCGTTAGTGCTTGTTCCCATCAGAACGTCCACGGCCATTCAAAAGTAGTCCTCCACCTGCAGCGCTTCCCACCTGTTGCGACTTCAGCTTGAAGCTACTAAATAGGGAACCCACAAAAGACGTACGCGCCCAACTATGTACATGAACACGGCCCCTTGACCCGCGAGACCGGCCGTGTGACACAAACATTCGCGCAATGCGAGCTCTCGAAACCAGCGTGGATTCGTGTACGTGTACGTCCTTTTTTCGCTCCTGACTAAAGGACGGATGTTTTCCTGAAGTCTTCAAGAAAGCGTCCGTCCAACGGAACGACGCTCTATCCACGGCGCTGCCTGCACTCTTGCATCATCGAGTCTTCCCACTGCAGCGCGCGCTGCAAGGTATGATCGCCATGGATAGGTCGGGCCTGGCCCCCTACAGGGGGATTTTGGACGAAAAATAAAAATATTCAACAAAAGGCTCAAAAAGGATGCCCAGAAATACTCAAAAATAGTCCCCATACGATTTGTTGACTATTTTTAAAGATTCCCCCTGTAGAGGGACAGGCCCGACTTAACGCCATGGATCTTCCGTCCACCGGAACGACTCCTCCGCGGCAGCCCCTGCATCAACAACAGTTCGGCGGCGAGCGAGGGGGGGAGTGACGCGGAGAAGGCCCTCTGGGAAGGCGGCGGGGCTTCTCAGAAACCCTTCAGCCTTCTGAGAAGTGTTCTGCGTCTTCGAGAACTTCCGAGCCTTCCGAGAAGGCCCGCCCATTCTCGCTTCTCAACATTGTTTGGTAGGGCTATAGGCGAGCCAGGACGGTTCGCCACTGCTTGATTCTCGCTTCTCCCCCAGGCTCGCCGCCGAACAGTGGTGTTACAGTCGGGGGCTTGACCTAAGGAACCCCAAATAAGGAACGAGGCCTCATTTTTCCATGAGTTAAACTTCGATTTCCGATCGAAAACATAAGGAAAACCTGAGGCAAGCTGCAAAACACTTAAGGAACGCGGACCCCCTCCCCAACGAAAAGGGTTCCTTGTTCAGGGCCCCGACTGTACCGCTGCACTGCTGTTGTGTGCCACATGGTTGCTGTCTCCACGGGGCCTCCGTTCAACATGCCGACGCTCTCGCCACGGCGCTGGCCGTGGCCCTGCGCCAGCACGGGTGGTGCTCGCGCGGCGGCGAGTGCCGCGTGGATTTTCAGCTGCGAGGCGGGGACGAATCCTAGGCTTAGGTCGGGCATGTCCCGGGGGAGGGAAATCTTGGAGGAAAAATATAATCAAACAGTGCTTGAGGATGGTCTGGCAAAAGTCGACACATCGTCCCCCTATTTTGAAAACTATTTTTGGATATTCCTCCTGTAGAGGGACACGCCCGACTTCAGACTCATCCATATCCACCGCCCAGGCGCCGACGTCCTGGGGACCCAGCGGGCGGAGGATATGGATCTATATGCTGGCCCCCCGGGTGCCCGAAGATAGCCATACCCACCGCCTGTGGAGGTCAGTGAACGCCGACCCTAATCAAAAAATACTTGAGGATTGTCTGGCAAAAATCGAGGGGAGGGGAAAAAAAACGTCCCCTGGCCTTTTTTAAAAAATATGTTTGAATCTTCCTCCTTCAGAGGGACACGCCCGATTTCAGACTCATCCATATCCACCGCCCGGGCGCCGACGTCCTAGGGACCCAGCGGGCGGTGGATATGAATTTGTGCTGGCCCCCGGGTGCCCGAAGATAACCAGACCCACCGCCCGTGGAGGTCAGCGAACATCGACCCCCCGGGCGTTGTTTATTGAATGGGGCCCTGGGACACACAAAGAAAAACACAAATAACCGGATTCCCAATAATTCCCCATGTATTCTGGGTTTTTGTCTTCCCCCCCGATTCCCATATTTTCCATTTTTTTTGGAATCGACGATTAATTGTGTCTGTTTTTTTTTTCCACTCCTGATTTATGGATAATTGGATGCTCATTCTGGAAACCTTCCTGCAGACACTGGCTCCACGGGTGCGTCAGAGCTGCGCCGAACGGCCGTGGGTTTGAGTCGACCTTGGGTCAAACCTGAGTCGAATGTTTGAATCGAATTTGAATCGAAGTGGGGTCGAGCTAGAATCACACAGATCCGTCAGGTGGGCCCCAAGAGGGTCCCAAAAGCGAGCATCTCTGAGGAGGAGGAGGAGGAGGAGGAGGAGGAGGAGGAGGAGGAGGAGGAGGAGGAGGGAGGGGGAGGAGGAGGAGGAGGAGGAGGAGGAGGAGGAGGAGGACACATTCCTGCCTCGGAAACATGAGCTTCCGTCCAGTGGATCTGCGCCCTCGCCGCGGCGCCGGCCGCCTCCCCTCCGTGCCACCACGTGCATCCTTTCGCGTGCCGTGCGCTGCGGTGCGCAGGGCCGGGCGCCAGGAACGAGCATGCCGCCGAGGCAAACGCAGAGAGACCCACTGCTCGGAGAGCAACTGCTCGCGACTGGCCGAAGCATGTCATCTGCGTATGTGAAGTCCGAGGGGGGGGGGCCGCCCGGCGAGTCGCCGGCGTCAGGAAAGGCCGGGGGGGAGGAGGAGGATCATGATCAACGGCGATCGCCGGCCGCCGTCCCAATCCGATCAACCAGCGCAACATCCTGAATGCGGTCCTTGGCGCGGTGGGCCCTTTCTTCCTTGCTTCTGCTAAGAAGCCAAAAACTGCCACTGACGTCGGCGCAAAATGAGAACGCGGAAGGGTCCGGCACCACGCCTCCCATTTGCGCCATTGCGACCAATAGCACCGCAAGGACACCAAAACGGCATTGGACCACACTTCTTGCATGTCGTTGGAGGAGACGGCCTTCTCTTGTCCAGCAAGCCCTCTGCACGCTAGCGCAACGGACCCACAGTTCTCGGGATCATGGAGAAGACCCCGTAGCCCATCCAGAACCACAGCTTTATGGCGGCAAGCTGGAACGACTGCGTTGCAAGGCCCACCCCCCGACCCAACCAAGGAGGGAGACTGCAACGCTGCAGCCACAGGTAACGACACAGCACTGGCCGCTGCCGGACCAAAGGACGAACTGACAACAGAGCCATGATCCGCAGAAGCATTGCGGAACGCCCAGAAATCAGATGAGGAGACCTCGGCGCACCTCTCTCTCTCTCTCTCGAATTTCCTGGCATATGCGGCACGGCACGCAGCGTAGAAAGACGAAATATCCTTCTCAGCTACGCCGCCAATCTCCTGGCTGAGCTCTTGGGCGGAGTCCCACCCACCGCCCACCATGAAAGACTGATGAATGCGCAGACGACCAAGTCCATCAGCGACTTGATCTCGAAGGCCTCCTGGAAGACCGTGCAGCAAAGACCTGATTGAGGTGGGGCGACGCATCGCGGGGCGGGCCTGCAGCCATCGCAGGGCCTGCAGGTACAGCCAAGATCGAACCGGCTGTAAACGCCTGCGGGCGGGCGAACAATCAACCATGTGCTCATGATCCCGTACCTCCCCAACGGACCACCAATAACCTGCCAGGGGTCGAGGAGGAGGAGGAGGAGGAGCAAGGAGGGGGAGGTGGAGGAAGAGGAGGGGAAGGGGGGAGGAGAAGGAGGCGGAGGAGGAGGAGGACGAGGAGGAGGAGAAGGAGGAGGAGAAGGGGAAGGAGGAGGAGGAGAAGGACACTGGAATGTACCCGACACCCAGCCTCCGCGAAGGGAGGGAGGGGCTCGACGCAGCGGAGAGGCAGCGGAGGGAGGGGCGGAACGTCAGATCTGACGCGAGCGCACGCGGCGCGCTGCTCTCACTCCCTCTTGCCAGAGGTGAAGAGAACGACATACACTGCTGGGCCTGTTTTCCATCACCACCACCATAAGTTGGAGGGGGAGGGGGTCCTCCTCCTCCTCCTCCTCTTCCTCCTCCACCTCTTCCTCCTCCTCCTCCTCCTCGTCCTCCTCCTCCTTCCCCCCTCCAGTTCATGGTGGTGGTGGTGGTGATGGTGGAAAACAAGCCCATCATACACACAGTTGAGGCTAGTCCACAAGAAACCCTCCACAAGAAACCCAATCCTGAAACCCCAGGACGTCCCCTGATTTCCGGTGTGGGAGCGTCGCGCTCCCATCGCAGAACAATCGAAGCCCAAGAAACCCAGGGCACCCTGGAGTCAAGCAGGGTGTTTCCTGGCATGGGTCTCCACTGTATAAGCTATCGGAGGTCCGCGCGGCCTTCTTGGATCTGCGCTGGACCGCCCTCCCTGGCGCGCGGAGCGCGCCAGGGGCGGCGCAGGAGGCGCCGGCAGGGGGGGCCAGCGCCGATCCAAGAAATCAGCGCGGACCTCTGAGAGATTGTGTCTATAGTAGGAGCTCGACCACACCCTTGCACAAGAAACCCAACCCTGAGACCCCAAGACGTCCATTGATGCTTGGTGTGGGAGCGTCACGCTTTCCGCAGCAAAACCATCGAACGCCAAGCAAACCAGGACACCCTGGAGACAAGCAGGGTGTTTCCTGGCATGGGCTTCCATTGTACGCCATGTATGTAGGAAACGAACTCTATACACCGACGCTTTTTCCGACCCTGGCTGAAATTCGCACAGAACCGCGGATCTTGGTGTATACGGGATCCTGGTGTATACATTTGTCGTTACTTCCCTTGGAAAACGGAGGAAAAGTATACAGCACGCCACCCCGACGTCGTCCCCGACCCTCAAAAGAGTCCTGGAATTGAAAAACCGCTCACCACTGGTAATGTAACCTCAGGAAGGCATTAAGAAACCCCCCTGGGTTATTCTTAGCACCCGGTTTTCTCAATATTCCAGGCGGGCAGTTTTAGCCGAACGATACACTTAGCACCCGCCGCACACAGAAAACAAAATCCACCATCGGCGGAGGAATACGAATAAGAGTAAGAATAAGAATGCGAATACTACTACTACTACTACTACTACTACTACTACTACTACTACTACTACTACTACTACTACTACTACTACAACGGCTACTACGACTACTACGCCTACGACTACGACTACGCCTACAACTACGACTACGTAGACGATGACGACTACGACGACGACGACCTCTACGACTACTACTACTACTACTACTACTACTACTACTACTACTACTACTACTACTACTACTACTACTACAACGGCTACTACGACTACTACGCCTACGACTACTACTACGCCTACAACTACGACTACGTAGACGATGACGACTACGACGACGACGACCTCTACGACTACTATCTACTACTACTACTACTACTACTACTACTACTACTACTACTACTACTACTACTACTACTACTACTACTACTACTACTACTACCTACTACCTACTACTACTACTACTACTACTACTACTACTACTACTACTACTACTACTACTACTACTACTACTACGAGGACTACTACTACTACTACTACTACTACTACTACTACTACTACTACTACTACTACTACTACTACTACTACTACTACTACTACCTACTACCTACTACCTACTACCTACTACTACTACTACTACTACTACCTACTACCTACTACCTACTACCTACTACCTACTACTACTACTACTACTACTACTACTACTACTACTACTACTACTACTACTACTACTACTACTACTACTACTACTACTACTACTACGACTACTACTACTACGACTACTACTACGAGGAGGAGGAGGAGGAAGACGAGAGTCCTCAGAGTCCTCCTCCTCCTCCTGCTCCTCCTCGTCCTCCTCCTCCTCGTGCTCTTCCTGTTCCTATGCGTTTCCTATTACAATTCCTTTACAGAAATCGATTTTTCCCGGCCGTCCTAAGGGGGAGTCCATCCGAGGGTATCGCCCCGCCCGCACCGAGGCGTTATCTTAGCACCGCGTGGCGCGGAAATTCCAAAGACAGCGAGGCGTGCACTCAGAGTGTCTCTGAATGTGAGTGAGTCTGCGCTTGGCAGGCCTTAGCTAGGCCCCGAGTCCCCTCAGCCAGGTCTTCCGGTGCGGCCATAACGCTCCAGGGTGCGGGGGCGTTATAATCCACCGGAAAGGGGGGGGGGGGGGGTTCTTAATGCCTTCCTGAGGTTATATGCTCCAGTTTCCGAGTATGTTGTCCCTCTACAGTCGGACTTGATTGGACAGGACGCGCGAGAGGACACAAGACCCTTTCGAGGGCCACATTGCCACAGGAATGTCGGAGGCACGGGCCGCGAGACACAGGACACAAGGGTACCCTTGATTTGGCAGGGTCGACCTACTAATCTCGGGAGCGGCCAAGAGGGGGGTGTCCAAGAGGGGGGGTGCAAATCATGACCGGCGGCATGTGCACGGCCCAGCGGGGGGGGCCAGGAAACGTTTTGAAATAAAAAGAGGCGCCATGAAACCTTGGGGAATATCATGGCCCCCGCCATAATATCCGCCCCGCCCTAGTCCTCAGCCCCCTTTTGCCGCCCCCGAGATTTGGCAAGGTCGACCTACTAATCCGGGCCGACCGCATCCCTGGGTGGGGGGCCGGGACGGGACGGAACCGCGGCGGCAGCAGGAACTCTTAAAGTGGCCCTGGGACGCACACATGAATACACACACACACACAAATAACCGGATTCCCCACATTTTCCCACATGCTCTGGGTTCTTGTCTTCCCCCCCACTTCCCATATGTTCCCATGCCTTCTGAGAACCGACGATTCCTTGTGTCTGTGTGTGTCTTTCCCCCTCCCGCGCTCGGGCGCTCGAGGGGCCTCGGGCCCTGGAAGGCGCGCTTTCCTCCTCCGCCCCGGAGCTCCCTGCGGGCGCCGCGCCCCACCCCCCCGCCTCGCGGATGAGGTGCCCGAGGTCGCAGCTCCGAAGCATGTCGAACACGGCCTGAGGCTTACGTTGACCCCATCCTACGTAAGGTCTGGAGCGGCCAAGAGGGGGGTGTCCAGGAGGGGGGAAGTCCCCTGGCCTTGTGAGAAGCTTCGTAAGCCCTCCCCGAAGGCGCAGCAAGGACCTCTCAGAGGGCCCGAGGCCTTCTGAGAAGACCCGCCGCTTTCTGAGAGGGCCTTCTCCTTCTCACTTCCCCCACCCTGGCGCGCCGCCGAATCTGGTTTTAGGATCAGAATCGGGAGCGGCCAAGAGGGGGGTGTCCAAGAGGGGGGGGTGCAAATCATGACCGACGTGCGCGGCCCAGCTGGGGGGGCCAAGAAACGTATTGAAACAAGAAAAGGCGCCATGGAATCTGGGGAGATATCATGGCCCCCGCCGTGATATCCACCCCCCCTAGTCATCACCCCCCTCTTTGCCGCCCCCGATAAGGACCACATCCCAGAAGTAAGTTCGAGCACCTGGAAAAGTTTCAAAAGAGTGTCGAAACAGTGTCGGGCGAGTGTCTCCCAGGGCCCGACACGTGAAAACCCTTGCGCTTCGGTACTTTTTGGGGCGCTCGAAAGTATTCCTGGTGATCAGGGCTAAAGTAGGTTGGAGCATCATAACCCTAGAGACGAGCGCGTTCCCCTACTCGCACGGTAACTGCTCGGAGATGGCCTGAATCCGCCTCCTCTAGAGACGAACGCGGTCCCCTGCTCGCACGGCAGCTGCTCGGAAAATGGCCTGGATCCGCCGCGCAGGATCTGCGGTCCAACACGTCGAAGCAGGCACCTGTTTTCTTTCGGAGGTCTGCGAGTGATTGGGCACTCTGCGAGTAGTGGAACGCGCTCCTCGACCTGCGGATACCTCGTCCTCTTCCTCCTCGTCGTCATCTCATCCTCGTGCTCATCTTCCTGCTCGCTGAACATCATCCTCATCCTCATCCTCCCTCTCCCGCCGCCCACCAAGCCGTCACTTCCTTTTCGCCATCACGAAGTCCACTTCCCATGCCATCAAATACCCAGTGCCATCGCAGGCATCCCTTCAACTACTGCACTCCAGCAGAGGACACAGCACAGATCAGCGCATCACGGCAATGCGTCATGGCAGGAATAACAAATCCGTCGACACCCCCATCCATGCCGGGGGTGAGCATACATGTGAAAAGCTCGTCTGACTCCCCATCCCCCTGGCTCTAAAATCCCGTTAGAGGGGTGTGGGCACGAGCTCCTCAACGGACTTCCCAGGCCCTCAGAGCCTCCAAATCCACCCTCCGACTTGTCCAACATACGCAGGATGCCTTACAAGACACCCCAGGAGAGCACCAGCACGCCCAAGAGGCCGCAGAGAAGAACGCAAGAGGCCCTAAGAAGCCCACACAAGCTCGTGGAGGTCGCAGAAGGGAGCCATAGCATCGCTGATCATCGGAAAAGCAAGTGTTGCTCAATGCTTCCCCAATCAACGCTTCCACCCAAGGAGTCCGAGCGGAAAATAAAAGGATTGGCGTATGTACTGGGCCAGTGTTGGTAGGTCCGCGGGTTCCCAATTGCGAGCTCCACCGGGGAAACCGGGCCGACTTCGGCAGACGGCCAAGTTCCTGTTCAGGGTTCTTTTGTTCTCGAGTTCTTGGTCGCGGCCAAGTAGTCACGCTATTGCGGCTAGAGCCAGACTGAGAGAAACGACAATAAAAGAGCCCGCCACCGTGCCCCCTAGCACGTTGAGGCGTGCTAGAATGCCAAGTGCTGTCTGGTAGGGTTGTTGGTAATCTTCGTAAGGACCCCCCCCTCTCCCCCCCGCACCTCGCCGCGCGCACCGGCCATACTTCCAGGGGTCCTTGGGCGGCCATGGCGCCTCCCTGGGGCTCTCCAAGGCTTCCATGACGACCCAGGAAGCCACCAAGACTGTCCAAGAGGGCCCCGAGTCGCCGAACGATCGCTCGAACACGCCCACGCTGGCGTCAAGATGGCGCAAGGGGCTTCCACGGCGCTTCAAGAGGGCTCCAAAAGGTCTCCCAAGAGGGCCCGCAAAGGCAATGATCATGGATGTTCCGTGCGTGT